CATATTTCAGACAGCTATTCAGATACCAGATACATAATATGCGCCTTTTAAATTACGGCACAGACACAACAGCATAACATCAGGATCATATGGTGAAATACAACACGCATAAGAAAGATTCACAATCAAAAACAACAAAGAATTTTCATTTTCCGTAGAGAAAAATGTTAGTTTTAAGATCATTAATTTTATTATTGTGGCACTATTTCACCAAAATTCTCAATGGGGGGAAATTAGTGTAATTGACATGAAAATAATGCAACAATGCCTAAAATAGGCTTCTTGTTTGGTATTTTATATTTTGTCAATGTCAAATTTGACAAATAGTTTGCTAAAAATGATCAGTTATCATGCATTTTGTTCTGTACATTGAAATATGTACTAAAAATATTACTACAATTCGAACAATTAAAGAAAGAAATTATTTTGTATTTAAAGTATTTTGAACTTTATTTTAATATTGTCTATTTAATGATTGTTCTCATTTTTCACCATGATATAATGTCTTAACTTTTTTTTTTTTTCTGGGGCTTTTTGTTAATTAATATTGATATATGCAATTTATTGCAATCAATTATTTGTCATTAATTAATTTGATTAAAAGGAGCTTAAACTTTTGAGGTGAAATAAGAGCCATACATATTTTTGACACGTTTGCTGAGATTCACCCGTCTACCAATGATCTCATGTTGGATAATGGCCATATTTTCAGTGCTTGGAACTAATCAGATTGTGGTCTGAACAGACACACTGGGTGCACTTTCCTGTTTGTAACATTATGATCAGTGAGATAGAAAAGATGATGGAGCACATAACAGGAAGTAAAGATAATATGGAGCCTTCAGCATGTGTGCATTAGAGAGGAAAATTGATCTTCCAGTAAGGAAGTGTCGACACCAAATACAATACAGGCAAGACTATTCCATCTGATTTCTGAGACAGACAGACCTCACAGTGGAATGGACTGATAAAAAATTCATTATTAGAGACAGTGAGAACAGGAACAGAATGAAAGAAACAAAGAACATACAATCAGTAAATGTGATCAAATAAATAAATGAATGAATGTAAACTTTGCTTTCATTGTCTGATTATAATATTGACTGTTAACTGAATACAGTAACATTTACAATGTTAACTGTTGACATTGTAAATATGAAGACATAATGACTGTTTTATTATGATACTTCAGCCAACAAATGCACAGAACCACTGCTACTAAAAAAAGTTAATATTTTGAAATTTTTCAAAAACCTGTACAGGAAACAACTCCGAACACCTTAGCAATCACTTGCAACACTCTAGCAACCACTCTGAGTAACCTAGTAAACACCTAACAACGAGCCAAAACACCTTAGAAACCACCCAGAAAACCCTATCAAACACTCTGAACACCCCAGCAACAACACAGAACACCCTAGCAACCACTTAGGAACCTCACCACAACACCATATCAATTACCAAGACTGTCCTATCAACCACATTAGAAGAAACTAATCACCCTACCAACCACCCAGAATCACCAGTCAAACACCTAACCACATTCCAGAACACCCTAGCAACCATCCAATGCACTGTAGCAACAGCTCAGAACACCTTGGAAATCACCTAAAATACCACAACAACAGCCTGGCAAGAACCCAGAACACCATAACAACGACCAAGAACACCTTAGCAACTTCTCAGAACACCACCCTAGCAACAAACTAAACACCCTTCCAACCACCCTGAATGCATTAGCAACAACACCATAAGAAACACCCACAAACCACCCAAAACACTGTAACAACAACCCAGAACACCTTAGAAACAACCTAAACACCGTAGCAACAACCCAGAACATCCAAAAAACTGTCCAGAACACCCTATAAATCACCAGCACACCCTAACCACCCAGAAAACCCCAGCAACCCATTGCATCATAGCAAGCACCCAAACACTGTAGCAGAACACCTAAAACACCACAGCAAAAACCTAGCAAGAACCCAGAACACCCTTTCAATCACCCAGAACACCTTAAACATCTAAAGACATTCCAGAACACCCTATCAACCACCAAAACACCTTAAACACCTAAAGACATTCCAGAACACCCTAGCAACCACCAAAACACTGTAACAACAATCCAGAACACCTCAGTAACCACCTAAAACACTGTAGCAACAATCCAGGGCACCCAAATAACTACCCAGAACACCCTATCAATCACAGCACACCCTAACCACCCGGAACACCCTAGGAACCACCCGAAACACTGTAGCAACAAACCAGAACAACCTAGCAACCACCCAAAACACTGTAGCAACAACCTAGCAACCACCCAAAACACTGTAGCAACAACCTAGCAACCACATAAACACTGTAGCAGAACACCTAAAAAACCACCGCAACAACCTAGCAAGAACCCAGAACACCCTTTCAATCACCCAGAACACTGTAGCAACAATCCAGGGCACCCAAATAACCACCCAGAACACCCTATCAATCACAGCACACCCTAACCACCCAGAACACCTTAGCAAAAACCCAGAATGCCCCATCAACCACCTAGAACACCTTATTAATCACCCATAATACTCTAGCAAACACTTATAAACATTTCAGAACACCTTAGCAACAACCTAAAACACTGTTAACTAGGGATGCACCGATACCGATACTGAGCTCGTGTACTCGTACTCGTTAAAATGCCCCGATACCAAACGCCGATACCACACAGCATGTGATAAGTGCCATATTCAGACAAAGAAACACCGACAACAAAACAACAGACAGCAGAATGGAGTTATTAGAGATTAAGGATGTATACGAAGTATATGTATGCAATGAATATAATGTTAAACATTCAGTATTAATGCCTGTATAGCTGTTATACATACCCTTTTGGTTTCTGTACCCAATATTTAAAATTTACAAATGCGATAAAAATGTTGGTATCGGTACTCGGTATCGGCAAGTACCAAAAATAAAAGTATCGGTATCGGGCGAGTACTGGAAAAAGTGGTATCGGTGCATCACTACTGTTAACCACTACCCAACAACAGCCCCGATCCTAGCAACCACATAGGAACAACTCAGAATGCCCTAACAACCACCCAGACGGCCAAAGAGAATTGGTACAAATGAGATTGTCAGGAAATCTAATTTACATCCAGAGGAAAACACATTTATGTTAGTCGCTTTGGATAAAAGTGTCTGCTAAATTAAATGTATGTATGTCCAAATTATGATAATTGATTTAAGCAGAATGGAACCCAATTCTGATTATAAAGAAATGATCGCTTGCTTATATTACTTGGTAATAACAGTATAAGTGTAATTTGTTAAACCACGTACCCTTCACATCAGATAATTGAAATTAAATGTTAATGCATATGTAAAGATGTCTTAGTCAATCTCCAGACATTATGGTTTGACGTCACGAAACACTCAGCTGTCCTGCAGCTGTTCTTCATACTGCTTGACATCTGTTCCAATAAAAACAAGAACAAACCACTGAATGAGAGAGTCAACAAATAAAGACACATTAAAGTGTTCCCTTCTCTCGAGTCAAATTTCTTCATATTTGCATTTATTGTCATTTCTTTTTCGGACATTTTATCTCCATTGACTGTCCTAAAGCCGTTGAGATTACATTACTATTTATAAAAATCTACTTCACTATTATTTACGGTTCATAATTTTTGTTTAATCATCACTTAATGTAAAAAAAACAAAAAACATCTGTAACCCAAGCTTTTCCGTGTGGAATCCAATACTCTGGGAACACCGGCTGACCTAAACTACAAGATTTCCATTAAACCAGTTCCTTTCATTGTTCAAATGTGATTTATATGGAGATCAAATACAAGGACAAGGAGAAGCATGTTTTATGAAGAACATGAGACACAAAAAATGCCTAACAAGAAAAAAGAGAGGTTTTGACTGTCAGACAAATTGCCACTGTAGGGGCATGGAAAAATACACCAACACTGCCAGTAATGAACTTCAATGCGCGTATATTACGTGTGTATATAAATATATACACTACCTCAGTGAATCAAAAGTGAACACAACAACCAGTGTAGTATGATTCCTGAAAGAATGACTCTTATTAGGACTCTCTCTATTGAATCAAAAACATACAGCAGCATCAGTGTAGTCTGATTCCTGAAACGAATTAATCTTATAATCTGGTTCTTTTTAGTGAATCAAATGCATACATTGCAACAGTGTTGCCAAGTCCGTGGTTTTCCTGTTTTACTTTTTTAGTCCACGGGCTAAACGCATTACAAGTAACGCGAGTTACGTAATCAGATTACCTTTTTCAAGTAACTAGTAACGTAACGCATTACTTTTTAATTGACAGCTCTCCTGTCCCCATGTTGAGAGAAATCAGAAGATGTTACTGTAGTTCTAAACCACGGGTTGACGCAAAATACCCCACCCCGGCCCGGAACGCAATTTCGACTGCGGTGGAACCCCAGAAAGGAGGTTTTGACCTCCCCGGAATGTGATTGGGCTAGTTTTGAATACCAGTTGGGCTGGTTTTGTTACTCAGACCTGGCAACCCTGCATTGCAACATATGTGCAAATTATGCACATCATGATTTATTTTGACTGTAGTATTTTATAAAATTAAATTAAATATGCTACTGCAATTTTTTATTGTTTAGCTTGTTTTATTAAGTATTAATTATTGAATGTATCGTTAAGTCCAGTTACTGGATTGCATTTATTTTGCATCTAAAAAGTACGTTTATAAGTATTATTTTAAATCGATTTATTGATCAATTTGTATTTATTGTTCTGTTTATTAATGCAATTTTAATCTTTTTTTAATGCTTATTAGCTCTATTTAACTTTTTGAGAGTCAGAAAGGCATTTTATAAATTTAAAATGTATTATTATTATTATTCTTATTCCCTCAAGTACTAAAAGAATCGTTAATGCACCTGTTAAGGACTTACAGAGTAATCTGAAACGGAACCATTAATGCCAGTCTTTAACCGTAGTAAAATCACTGTAAGGAATGGCCTGTCATGGTGTATTTGCTTTATACATAAGAGCCCAGCATGATGACACACAACATATGGCACACATGATAATAAAAGTATATAACAAAGGCGTGTATTTAAACAGCACACATACAAAATGTCAATCAACCATCACATTTAAATTTAAAGGGATGCGCAAAGATAGTCTTCAAACATGGGTGGGATCGGTGTGTGATCCTATAAAGAAGATAAATACATACACGTTTTGTTTGAGAGTGTCACTTTCGATGGGAAAGTCGAGTGAAATACTCACCCTGTTGGCTGGGCCACCCGCCGGAGCCCCCTGACGAACCGGGCCTGCTGCTGCTCTGCTGGGGCTCGCTGTTGGAGAACTGGGGGGCCAGCAGGGGAAGACGAGGCCTACCAGTACTGCCTGCGTCACTGTCAGGGGTGCGAGGAATCTTTGGCTGGCTTGCAAAGCCTACGTTCTGGCCACTAGAAAGGAGAGAACGAAAGAGATACTACTAACTTTACATTTAAAATTTGCCTTTGTCTAGTGCTGCTCAGTGACTAGCAGACTCCTTTGAATCCATTTGCATTTGCTTCTCAATCAAATGTATCTAGTTGAAGGATTTTTTTACATTTTACTGTAAAACAAAACAAAACTACTTATCAAGAATATTTTTAGGGCTCTTTTGTTTGTATAGAAAGTTAAGCGAAAAATACAGAATGGCATCTTAGCTTAGTATAAAACTGAACGTTAACATGACAATTTACACAAGTCAAATTCTCAAAATGTACTTCAACAACCCACTGAGTGTCAAAAACGACTTATTTTACTGATCCCATGTGGAAATATTTTCAAAGAATGAGGTGAGAAATATATTATTTGTAGCTTTCTACACAACAGTTTATGTATTTCTCATATTCCAAACTGTTTTCTGTTAAGTCCAAATTATACTCTTTTATTACGTTTTGGTGTGAAACTCTTAGCACCATCATCTAGTGGCTGTGCTACTTTTTCTCTAGTAGTTATGATTGATAAAAATGTCTTTGTACGCATTTCAACTAGAATTATGAGGATATCTATTGTTGCTCTGTCTCATACGTTTCTTTTTTGACTTTGAAAAAAAATAAAAAGGTAATTGCGACTTTATTAAACTCAATATTCTGACTTTTTTTCTTGCAAATACGTTTTTGTTTAAAACCACAAGACGCAAGGCAGTGGAATAATGCAAAAAACCTGCAACTTACAGCGATGTGTTTTTTAAAAGATGAACTACTTTAATTTGAGCAACAACTTTTTAGAAGGTGTTGCCCTTGAGACGCTACAAAAGGCACAAGACACAAGCACAGTGGTCAAACGCGTCCATCTAGCGCATGTTTACATAGAAAAACAATAGAAGTGGAAAAACGTTTTCACTCTGAACGGCCCCTTAGACAAGTTTGCGTTCTTATATTTACATGGGTTAGGCCTTACAAAATAAATGAGACAATGGAGGATTCAGCTCACACACTCGATTTGGCAGTTTTTCTGCTGGATGAGGGTGAAATTATAGCTTTATACAAGAAAATGTGATGCACGTGTGTTCACAGGGTTATTACATCCACGGGGCTCCAGGAGTCAGGGATTTGGGAAGGAAGGGACCTGAATCAGCCCTTTGTTTAGCAGTTGTTTGATTCTCATGAAAAAGTCTGTCCTGCGGCATTGCTGACTCAAGGTTCGATGCCTCGCTCCCACCCCCAAATTCCTCTGGTCTCTCTCCAGCTCGCTGCCTTCCAAAGCCAAGTTACAGCCAAGTTATGACACGCTTGATAACACTGGATCCTGTGGACCCTTACATATTAGATACGCCTTGCCACAGTGAGCATAGAATGTCGCACCTGGATCCTTAAACCTCTTGTTAACATAACACTGCTGTGGAAGATGTTGGGCTAAAAATACACGGAATGGGCAGCATACCCACCTGTACGAGTGGCCATTGGTGTTGTTCTGGCCTGGCGGAGGTACGTGTCTTTCGGGGGACCCCGTGAGTCCTGATTCCACAGAGGAACGCCAGCATTCCGAATCGGAGGCTGATTGGAGAAAAACCAAAAGATGTCAAACACACACACACACACACATCTCACCCGCGGCTGACATCATTAACACACACATGCCACAGTGACGAACAGAGAGTTGTTCACTTTCACAAGGAAATGCAAAGTGGTCTAGGAGACATGTGCTATATGGTTTCTGTTCGTATGGAAATTCAGGAATGGCTGATAACAGAGAAAGTCAGTGAGATACATGAAACAGGTGCCCTATAATTTTGATGATTCAACATAGCTGGTACTAAGACAATTTTATAGATTGAGGGTTTTTTACAGATGTTGTGAAGCTTATTTTTATAACAATTTTCAATAATTTTTTTAATATTATTGCACACTATTTTTGGTGTTTGTAGTTGCAAATCCAATCAGATTGTGGAACCAGAACCATCCATTTTATGGTGCAATCCACAAAGAGTTTACAAATTGGCCTTTTATAACTTTTTTAAAGCACCGAAACAAACAAACCCCATATATGTACTTTTTTCACTGACCACATTTGCCAAGTTCAAACATTCAGCCCTGTTTCCAAAGTTATTTAAATGATCAAACATTCAACCTGTTCCAAAGTCATTAAAACAAACATTCAACTGTTACCAAAAGTAATTAAAACAACCAAACATTAGCCCTGTTATCAAAGCCATTAAAACAATCGATCAAATACTCAACCTGTTACCGAAGTTACTAAAAAAGTTATTAAAATGATCAAACATTCAACCCAGTTACCAAAGTTATAAAAATGACCAAACATTCAACCCAGTTACCAAAGTTATAAAAAATTACCAAACATTCAACCCAGTTACCAAAGTTATAAAAAATGACCAAACATTCAACCCAGTTACAAAAGTTATTAAAAAAAAATTACCAAACATTTAAACCCATTACCAAAGGCATTAAAAATGATCAAACTTTCAGCTGTTTCTAAAATTAAAGATCAAATATTCAGCCATTACCAAAGCTAATAAAACAATTAAACATTCAACCCTGTTACCAAAGTTATTAAAACAGTCAAACATCAAACAGTCAACCCAGTTTCCAAAAATGACCAAACACTCAGTCCTATTACCAGTCAATAAAAATGATCAAACTGTCAGCTGTTTCCAAAATTAAAAATCAAAGACTCAGCCATTACCAAAGTTATTAAAACAATCAAAGATACAACAGTTACCAAAATGAATAAAAAATGACCAAACATTCAACTGTTACCAAAATTACCCCCCCCCTTAATTTATGTGAATTAAGTATATCAACAATTACCAATTAAGTCCTTCAAAATGATAGCTTGTGATGAGCACTGCTTTTTACCAACTCTCGATTCCAAGAAAAAAAAAAACGTCACAGCACTCAGCACTCGTTATGCTGCTGGTGTTTTTAAAAGCACGGCGCTCCCATTGAAAACAACTGAAAATATACGCTAGCCTCGGGGGAAAAAAAACTCTTTTGTGGACACACGGCCTAAAGCACTTCATATCTGGCTTTTTCTGATATCGTGCTTGGATGGAAGCATACTTAGACAAACCCTCGCCTGCAGGCACTGAAAACTACATCAAAGTGATTCCATCAGGCTGTGCATTTGGAACGGAAGTGAGAGGACCATGAAAGCACAGTCCAGGCTAAGGGCCTCGGAAATTGAATCAAAATTGAATATTTATTAAAGATAGAACTGTAATCTCATCTTTATGAAGGGTTAGAAAACAATGACATCAGACAATAAAAAAGGCAAAAAAGCTAAAAGGGTAAAAAAAAAAAAAGAGAAAATCTCAATTTTCGAGGTGGATGAAAAAAGTCAATCAATATGAAAACAATAAGAAAAAAAATGGAGTTAATTTAATATTTGTCAGTTGACGGCACACGTACCCAGGGTTTGGTGGATGGACTCAGCAGTGCTGGGGCGGCTGCCAGTGCGAGTCGGTGGGCGGGAACTAAAGCGAGAGTGGGCGGGGCTATCTTCACTTCTCTGTCGGGTGACAGCGTAGACTCCATCACCACCAGCTCTGCGTAAGCAAATACACATGTACAAATGTACATTATCATGTCCAACACGCCAGATGTGTTTTAATTCAACTGCTAAAACACTGAAAATTCAAAGTTAGGAAATTCAGGTAATATTCCACAAATTTTTTTTTTTTTACTGTTCAGTCTAACAATAGGCTCGTCACAAAAGACTCAGTATGGATTTTTTTATGTCCAAAATTTTATTTTAAAATAAAGGTAGGTAATTATTGAGGTTTATACACATCGTTTTGCTTGCATATATTGACGCTTATACATTTTTCCTTGTGATAATATATATTTATATATCTTAGAAATATGTGATGGCAAAATGATGATTCCTCTGACTGGTAGAAAAGGTAAAACAAATACATCTATTATTACATAACTTACCTGCTTTCCCCCCAGCCTGAAATGCCTTTCATTCTAACTTTGTCTACTCGAAATTTCCTTTGGAGATTGTAGTATATATATTATCTTATCCAATTATTAATTATCAAATTATTATATAATCCAAAAGCTTGGATAAATTAAATATCCAAATGCTCAAGTAAGTTCTCACCCAATCAAGGGCCTAATCACAATGTTGTGTTCTTTCATTCATAGCATTTTAAAGCACCAAGGTCAAAACAGCGAGAGTCACGCAACCAATTGTCTGCACTCATTCCCATCACTGATCCACAGGCTTCAGTAGAAACAATGAGGATAAATCCAACTGAGGATGGAGTCTTACATATCCTGCTTGCACTTTAACATTATTTGACTTGAGGGCAGAACTATTGACTTCTCCCCAGCGTTGACGACAAGGACAAAAATGAATACAGACACATTTGCACTTCTGCTGTGGGCGAGAGTCACTGTGTTTGTAGTATCTTGTATACTCATCACAAATTAAGATTCGTCTAATGACAACACTTCAAATTAGTAAAAAAGAATAAACAATTAGTGGTTACTATAACAGCAAGGAATCAAACTAGTACACCTGCACTTAAAGTAACAGGACATGCACATGAACCATATCCGGTTACATGTTAAAACATTTAACACAAGCGTTTGTTAATTTCATAAGAATTCTGACCAAGAGAAGAAGATTTCTGAATGATTCTAATGTTAATATGCGAGAATGTTTTTAAACTCCATTTTAAAAGTCACATGAATAAGAAGATAGGTTGACTTAATAGATTCCACTTAACACCATTCCACTATGTTAACCAATTTTAAGTAATGCACAACTATTTTTTCGACATTTAAGTCACAAACAAGCATAGAATCGTTACTAAAAAACACCAAATATTCATCTTGATGTAACAGGCATTCAGAATGAGGTTCTTACATGGTGTTTTTGTGGGAGCTGGGCGTAACGGGCCGTTGGAGTGGCTCGTCTATGCTGCGAGATGATGGAGGATATGATCTCCTCTTCATCTTCACCATGTTGGTCATTATCTACAAAGCACCAGAGAGACGCTTATCATCTAAATGTCCAAACACATTGCAAACATAAATCACAAGAATGCCAACAGTTCGCAAATGAATCATTCTTTTGATTTGGTTCATTTTAGTGAACAGGATGAACCAGTTCACCAAATGCAGCTGAATCGTCTCGAGCAGCACGGATCTACAAGTTACTCAATCAAAAGTCACTTTCAGACGCCTGACAGTCACTCTGACTGGAAATGAGTCAAAATAGCAGTGTATCTGATCCTGTGATGAATGAACTGATTCAGTGCTCCAGTTCCTCCAACAGACACTGAACTGAGGAAACAGTTCGACTCCGAGTCGGACCGAAGACCGATGAGCCTACATCTGCGTTTCACATCATTATTGGGCGCTTTAATAATATAATTGCATTTACCTTATGTCACTGTGTGATTACGTAAGTGAACTGGTGAATCGGTTATTTAAAGGGGTCATATGATGCGATTTCAATTTTTCCTTTCTCTTTGGAGTGTTACATGAAAAACAACCAGTTTGTGGAAAATAATCAGATTTCCTGTTTGCCTGAGGCTCTGGATTACAGGTAATAATGTTGAAAATAATTTTCAGTTTCTTGCACAGACTGATCGTTTTGCTTCATAAGACCTCGATATATCATCAGGGGCTACGAGTATTAATTGTGTGTTGACTGTATATGCTTTTTTAACTCTCAAAAGTGCCAGTAGCCGCTGACTTGCATTTTATGAATCACCATGGACCATGGACTTTGCAAAGTCTTCTTATATTTATCATTTAGAGTAATGGTTTACCCCGAGATACTCTGTTGCCAGCAAAGATTCTCCACTGAGCTCTTTCGGGTGAGGCTGCAGGACTTCCTCTTTATCTAGGTCTGCCTCCATAACATCTTCCTGTTAACAAGATGAAAGAATTAGATCAAAGGCCTGAGTGGTAAAGCTTTTGAAACCTGCCGATAAAATGCATGTCGCAGTCATAGCCTTTCACACAGATTATGTGAAATCATGTTGAGCAATAATCTTTCTTAGAAGACACGAACGAAGTGAATTACCTCGTCGTCGTCGTCGTCATCCTCTTCACCATCTGACTCAGGTTCATGTTCAGAGATGTCCGCTGTATATGGCAGAATCATAAATGAACACAAAAGACTCAGTGAAATAATGACATAAATATGGGAAATAAACCATGGAATGCAACAGATGAATTTTTGAAGAATATCCTGGCAACTCTTTGCAATTCAGTGAATTTGAATGGTGACCAAAATGGACAAGCATCATAAATGCACTCACACAAATGACTCACACTCTATTTCATGTCATACGGACCAAGTTTATGATATTTTTATGGTGCTTTTCCGTTCCTTTTGAACCTGATAACCTGGTTCTCACTCACTTTCATTTTACTGAAAAAGGTGGCTAGGATTTTGAAAAAAAGTTATGTGGCTTAAACAGGGTGATGACAGATTTATTCATTTTTCCATTTCAATATGAACAATTTCTTACTGCTTTTTTTGTCTTACCTGAGTTAAGCTGTTTGATGATGAATTCAATTTGTCTGTTGAGTTCAGGATTTTCTTCTTTACTGTAACAGCGTAAGATCTCCTCCATACTCTAAACACAACAAAATCCTCACATTATCTGTATTCTGTGATCGTAACTATGGAGCACAACAGAGACCGATAATTTTTTTTCAGCAGTCTTTGTTTCCTGCAGGAGTTTTCTCATTCAGTTTCTCCATAGGGATTAAAAATAAAATAAAATAAAATCTTGCAAAAAAACTAGCTTGGAGCAGAATCACAACACTTGACCTTTGATTTGAAGATTTTAAGTATTTAAAAATCAAATAAGCATGTGCCAAAATTATTTTACTTGTCGTGAAGTATAACTAATGACAATTACAAGTCATTCATTGGTTATAAATATAAAAACAATATATTTAGTGTTAAATATTTATATATACACTGCCGTTCAAAAGTTTGTGATCGGTACGTTTTTTAAAATATATTTACTATTAATATATTTTTTTTATATTAATATAATATTTTTAATTTTTAATATAATTTAATATTTTAGAATTTCTTCTGCTCACCAAGGATGCATTTATTTGTTCAAAAATACAGTAAAACAGTCTTCAGTGTCACATGACCCTTCAGAAAATAATATGCTGATTTGCTGCTCAAGAAACATTTCTGATTATTATCAATGTTGAAAACAGTTGTGCTATTTAAGATTTTTGTGGAAACGGTAATACACATTTTGTTAGGATTCTTTGATGACTAGAAAGAACAATATTCATATGAAATATTTTTTTTTATATTATAAGTGTATTTACTGTCATTTTCGATCAATTTAATTAATCCTCGATGAAGAAAAGTATTAATTTCTTTAAAACATTTTTTACTGATTATATAAATATATAATACGTGTAGGGAGTGCAGTTTTGTTTGACAGTGACTTTTCTGATTTAACTTAAGGATTATGGGTAGTGTAGTGTTTCCTCTAGGAATTTTAAACAAACGAATAAAACAATTTTTTCTGAACAGTAACCTTCTGATTTGTTGCGTCATATATCGCTGTTTAACTTTGAAAGGTTTGAATGTGCAATGAATGGGATTTTTATTACTCATTGGAGTCGAGGCAATGATCCTGATGTTGTGCACCTGTGAATGAACCGTGATTAAACACATACCATCTGTTTGGCTTCCTCTCGTATCTCTGGCATGGACAGGATGCTGTATAAAGCTCCATTCACATAGTACCGAATCTATATTTGCAAACATGAACACAAACATGCAATGAACATTTGAAACTTTGCATCTGAAACACTTTCATCCACTACCAGCCAAAGTTTAAACACACATCTTAAAATCATTTTGAACTAAATGTATGGTTATAAAAGTTTTGTACACAATTATGACACTTTGTTTCATATTTGATTAACTTTGCATTGTTAATTGAACTGAATTAAATCAGAACAGAACTAAATTGATCTAAATAATGGCACTATTGTCTTCTGTAGAGCTGCTTTACAGCAGAACTTAAATTAGTTTTTTGTAAATTGTTTTATATCTGATGAATTTTGCAACATTAACACTGTTATTTTCTAGTTTATTACTGTGAAGCTGCTTTGAAACAATCTGTATTGTATAAAACACCATAGAAATAAAAATGACATTTGTGTACAATTTTTTTTTGTTTTAATGTGAACAGGACTGAATATTAAAGGAAAATCAAGGAATTGTATTATGACGTCTTACAATATTGTATTTCTTACACAACTATTCAAAAGTGTGAGGGAAAAAACAAACAAACAACCAAAAAAAAAACATAGGATGTTATTTACAGTATGTTACATAAAGTGATTTTTGCATATCAAAAAATGTGTGAGGATTTTTCGCATTTTTTTTGTAAATAATGTTGATAATCTTCGGGCTTAGATTACCCCAGTGACAACTATTTGTTCGACTTATATCCAAATTATTTTTATTGAAATTTTAAGAGAAGGTTGTTTTATCACAACTTGTTCCATACTTAGATGCGAATGCTGTTATAGATATGTTCCAGTCGGGTTTTAGGTCCCTTCGTTGTACAGAATCTGCCCTTCTTAAGGTTTTTAACAATATTTTATTGCAGTGATTGGAAGATGTTGTTGGTATTAAGGGTACTGCCTTAGATTGGTTAAAGTTATATTTAAAGGTTAGGTCTTTTTTGGTTTGAATTGGGAATTTGTGCTCTACATCAGTTAAATTACATAGTGGTGTGCCACAGGGTTCTTTACTTGGGCCTATTTTATTTTCATTGTATATGTGCCCATAAGGCTCAGTTTTTCGTAAATAAAATAGTATGTATCATCTATATACAGCATTAACTACACAGAGCCGTTGTTCACCGACAAGGTGCGCAAAACATGCGCAAAATATGATCGTGGTTTTGCGCAGCTCGTCAGTGAACAACGGCTCTGTGTAGTTAATGCTGCTCCATGTGAAAGCCCGCACGTGATGGAGATTTACCGCTGATTAAAGAACCGGCTTTACTGACAAGATGCGCGTTAAATATCGCATGCGATTTATCGTGCAGCCCTAATTCCAATTGATCCAAAAGGCTCCCAATCCTTTGATGAACTTGTACAGTGCTGGGTTTTTACCAATTCAGACTTATTTCTAAATTGAAACCTATTCTCTCCTTTAAAGACCTGGAAATGTGTTATCACACTATGTGTTATTGACTACTGTAATTCCTTATATATAGGTATTTCTCAGGGTCAAAATGCAGCGGCCAGACTTTTGACTCGTACAAAGAAGAGAGAGAGTATTACCCCAGTATTGGTCTCCTTACACTGGTTGCCAGTAAATTTCAGAATCGCGTTTAAGGTTCTATTGATGGTTTTTAAAGTGTTGCATGGTATTGCACCAAAATATATTGCTATGCTAACCTTTTGATACCAAAATACAAGGCATATGAGATGATTCTTGATGTTCCCAAAACTAGATTAAAATCAAAGGGTGATAGGGCCTATTCAGTGGTTGCTCCTCGCTTATGGAACTCTCTTCCATGCATATGAAATCTTCTGTGGATGATTTTAAGTCTAGTTTGAAGATGCATCTCTTTAGTATGGCTTTGAGATCTGATTAGAGTGAACAGGATTTAATTATGTTTGCGTAGATGTATGTAATTGTTTATGTTGTATTTATTATGCTGGAAAGCACTTTGGTCAACGCCAGCTTTTTTAAATGTGCTACAGAAATAAATTTGTATTGTACTGTACTGTATGCTTGACCACAGCTAAATGTTACATGAACTCCAGTTTCTTTGTTGAAACAATTGTTTTTCTCATTTCTAATTTACATAAAAAACTATTAAGTTTAACATTGTTTAATAGTTTAATATTATTAATAGTTGATTGCACTATTAAGTTTTAGTTTTTAAATCAATTTTAAAAATTAATGATAAAAAAAAATTGAATTAATAAAAAAAAAATTAAGATTTAAAAATTTAATAAATTATTCAAAATTTTAAAGAGATCATTTTTAAATTTTTTAAAATTAGTTTTGAGGTGCCGAGCAAATTAATTAGGGCTTATAATGGTGCAGGCTTGATTCTCCATTTCAAACGCTTCACAAAGGGAGTGAAAGACAAACTTTTAAAATCCAAAGTTGACAAAAGCGTTCTTTTTTGAGAATCGTCTGACGTAAAAAGGACTAAGCTAATTGTCGCCTTCAGTATTCACTGTATGTCACTGTATTCAGGAAGGCGGAGAACAAACTCAAATAACACGCCTTGTTTGTGCATATAGCGGTTGAGCAATTACTGATTTACCTCATGGTTCTCATGTCCCAGGAGCTCCGTCAGGACTTTCAGGACATGCTTGGCCTCCTCTGCGCATTTCTTCTTTCCTGAAACGTAAGACATACTACAATAAACACTGCGCTGCTTATAGTACATTTCTCTGTTTACTTTAGAAAATCAAAAAAAAAAAGTGATAAAGTAAACAGAAGATTCCGAGCAACAATTTAATTGTTTATACATATCTTTATTTCTTTGATAAGCATTGATTAAAAGATCATTGTGGCGGTGTATCTGTTACCTTGAGTGCGCAGGCAGAGGTTCATGAGGAGGGAGATGGCATATTCAAGCGTGTAGTCAGACAGACAGTCGGAGTCGTGGAGCTCTTTGACCAACCAGCCAATCAGACCATCTCTGATCATAGCAGACTGCTGTGCTCGCCTGCACACAGCAGCATATTTAGAAACACTAGGCATTTTTGAGGCGTTTAAAAAAATGCTGTGTTGGAAATCCTTTACCTAATTTGGTGTTCCCAGTCAAAAATTGCTTATAAATTTCTCATTGTGCTATATTATCACCAAATCTTGGATTCAAACTTCTTGTCAAGTTGTTCAATTCTTTCAATTAGCACAGGTTTCGTATTTCTTTTTGGAACTGATTGATCCTATTGCGCTTATGCAAAGTATAAGTATAGTTTGAGCTTATGCGCTTATAGTTTTTGAGTGAAAAATGCATTATTTGGATAATTTTGGCAATATTCACTCAAAAACTGAGGTACATAAGCTCAGATCAATGAGGCCAAGGGATCAATTAGTTCCTAAAATAAATACTTGAAAGAAAATAAGTTGATAAAAAACAATATTGTTGTTTTTAAACAATAATAATAGCCATTATGTGTTTAGTTGCACCTCAGCCATAAACCTATTTGGTAGCTGTATTGTTCTAAATAATATATGATTAGACACACATTTGAGTCATTATTATTATTATTATTATTTTTGTTTTTATTTATTGGTATGTATTATTATTATTATTATTACTTATTATTTATTTTTGCGCTATATTATTTTAAATATTTTTTATTACTATTTTATACTTTTTTTGCATTTTAATTTTTTTATTATACCTAAAAAACTCTGTTGGTGCAGCTGAGTTTTACACACTTTTCTAAAGAGAGGAACAACTGAAAACACATTATTACAGTCTGTATGTTTATTAACATTTATTATCAAATGGCGTACCTGAGGCTGAGTTTCTGCAGTGCTGCAAGCACATTTTCTCGAGTTACAGACTCTTTCTCTTCAGTCTTCAGGCAGTCGAGCAGAAACCTCAGTAAAGAGGGTATCTGAGACAGGTACATGCGTCCTGGGTGTGCAATAGTGCATGAGACCACGATAAACACATTTCAGAACTAAAGACAGAGATTTATACACAATTTATACAATGAAAGTTTTGTGAAAATTCTGCTCCAAGAATTCTGAGAATTGAGAACCAGAAGTGAAATAAAATTGTACTCAAAACAATATCAGTTGATCAGTTTGTGCCATGAACAAAAAAAAGGTATGCTGTCAACGGTGACATCAACATGACGAATGTAGTGTAGCGACAAATCCATGTGACCAATATGAACAAGTGGGGAATTCTTTCGCCCTTAGGCATGCAATTGACATGATTTGGCCAAACAACAATAAAACAGAGTTTGATTTAGGGTGAGAAGTTTGATTGTATCCCGTACAGTTCGGAAGTTATGCAAAAAACTGTGCATATTATAGCGCCACCTAGAGTATTGGAGGTTGGTGTGTGTTTATGATTAGCGAGTGGAATCTTATAGCATCCTGCCAAGTTTGTTTATTCTCTGATACACATAAAGGTCACAATAGCAATGTTTTTTTTTTTTATTTTACAAGCAAAAAATTTCTATTGACTCTCAATTGTTTATTGAACACAGCAATCAATCCGTTGAATGTAGTGTAACGTTCAATGCGGCAAATCTGTGTGACCAACTTGACATTGTGTGGAATTATTTTGCCCTTCTGTGAATTCCTACTGAAATAACCTGATTTAGCCTGCAGAAATTCACTGAACAACAGTAAACATGACCGCACCTTATGTTCAAAAAAGTAGGTTTTTCATAAAATGCAAAATGAGAGGGAGAAAAAAAAAAGTATTTTGATTCTGTGTGTGTTAGAATTAGCGGGTGGAATCTGGAACCATCCTATAAGTTCGTTTACAGTCCCTGACACACAAATAGATCACATTTGCGAAATTTTCTGCAAAATTTTACACACAAAAAAGGTCCACTGTTTACAGTGAATAGCGTAGCAAATATAGCCATCGATGCATTGAATGTAGTGTAGCGATCCATGCGACCAATCCGCGTGACCAACTTGAACTTGTGTGGAATCGTGTGAATTCCTATTGGAATAAATATAATTAACCTGTGAGAATTCACCGAATAATCGCACCTCAAGTTCGAAAAAGTAGGTTTTTCATAAAATGTTAAATGCCCCAAAAAGTTTGAAGTGGAAATAAAAATCCACTTGCACAATTGATTCAGCGTCAGAATTTGTATTCTAGCCTGTTACACAAAATTTTTGCACATTATAGCGCCACCTAGAGCGTCGGAGGGATGTGTATTTATGATTAATGGGTGGGATTTGGGACCATCCTGCCAAGTCTGTTTACAGTCTCTGACACACAAACTGGTTTAAGGAAGAAAAAGAAGAAGACTGGAACAAACAAACCCAGACTTCTCTGCTTGAAGCGAAGACATTTTTGTAAGGAATCATTTTCACTTACCGTCACACAAAGAGGCAAAGGCATTGATGAGCCGTGCCATATACTGTCTGACAATCTCATTTTTGGATTTCATCAGATGAAGAACAGTTTTCTGTGAAGTAAACAAAACCAGTTACTCAGCTATTTATTTTTCTTTCCTTGCTTTTTCATATGGCTTTTGGTCCAATTAGTTGTTCTTTAATGTGAAAAGGACTATTTTGTCTGCCTTCTAAGTTCATTCTGGATTTTAGTAACATGATATATTGTCTTTCAGCCTGCACAAAAACTGAAAGGTGAGCTAAAAGCATGTGTGACTCAACTGCCCTAAGGAACTTGCTGACAATGATTGGAAATTATGAGTCAAGAAGTCATGTTATCTGCTGAAACCTGATTCAGGTTCATTCTAAATACCTGAAAAAGACTGATGGTAAACATATTTTAGAAAAGAAATAGGTCACAGACAGCTCAAATTGTTTTAAATGTTTTAATTGTTGTGTTAAGTGTACTCATTGTGAACCGCATAACAAAAATTTATCAAAATCTGGATAGAAATGCAATTTAAATATATTGGAATTAAATAAAAGGGTCTATTTTCAAAACATTTTAGCCATGAATTTGAATACTATACTAAAATATTGTAATTTTAAATAGTATTTTCAAACTGTAAAATTATTCTGAGTGCAGTTTTCATACATATATATATATATATATATATATATATACTGTATATAAAACTCCCCGACGAGGGTTTTGTAATGTACCTGTTTGGAACTGTAGCGCTCCAGAAGATCATTGCTGATGAAGGCTTGCAAAACCGTGTCCCTTTGCTCACCATGTAGAGATCTGGTTAACCTCTGGAAAATAACAACAAAATTGGCATGCAATGTGAAAACCAATTTATGTGTCTCAATGTGTGTTCTAAAGGACAGAAAATACCTCAAAGATGGAGCTAAAACAACAAAAAAATCTCCTACAAACTTTTCAGTTTAAAGGATTCACAACTGAATTTTGATCATGTACATGCTGCAGTAGTTTGTAGCGTGTTTGACCAATATTAACAATATCAACACACTGTAGTAATTATGGTATTGTGTCAGAAACGATGGGATATATCAGTGATGTGCTTAGCTTATTTACAGTAATTCTGAGTTACCCAGCGCAAAGCCTGAAGCAGCAAAGCCTTCAGTCGATCTGATCCATTCACTAGGTCTTTCTTCAGCTTCTCGTAGTCAAGGGAAGGCAACAGCGGCACGTCTTTGGGCCTCCTGACAGCAGGAAATAAAAGGATGATGAATCCGCGCACGAGATCTTGCTCATCAGGTTACTGATGGGAATCTTTCCATCTCTGGGATCATCATGTTTCCATAGTCTGGTTTGTTTGCATTTATAGTATTACTTTTGAATGATCTGACAAGTACAAGATGCTAAAGGTAACAATCTATTTGAGATATTAATCAATTATGTCTAAATGTACAGAGAAAGTACTTTTACCCTGGTTTCTAAACACTGTCTAAAATGCAATTACTTAATTCTATTCACAGCAATAGGCTTTACAGAAATAAATAAATCTGGATATTGGATTATTGTGAATAAAATAAAATAAAATAAATAATTAACAACATGTACTTACTAAAGGGTTTCGGATTGGTTTAGGCAAACTATGCAACCGACTTTACTGTGATTACTAGTTTTTACTACAGTAAGTACATGTAAAGTGATAGAAGGACACTTTTTTGTTCAGGTTTCTTCAGATATTTTTCAGATTTAAATATATTCTAAAAATAGTAATAGGTATAAAAACAAGACATTGTAAACTTATCATAATTATTGCAATTAACAGAAAAAATCCAGAGAATATTATTTTTTATAATATAATATAATATTTAATAGTTATATAATATAATTTATATAATAGTTTTTTTTAGGATACTGACAATTATTTAATTCAATAAATCTTAAATCTGTAAATCTGCCATTAGAACTTATTTAGGGGTCCTTGGTATATAAAAAAATAAAATAATAGAAATAAAAAATAGAAATAAAAAAAAATACAAATGAAATGTGTAAATAAATCAAATGTGAAAATCTGCGCTCTATATCAAGTTACCAAATGTTTAGCAGACATACCTGCTAGGCAAGATGAGATTTTCTACTAATCTTTTTATCAATCTAAACAAAATAATAAATAAAACTTACTGAGGTGCGACTGATGCCCGCAGCATTGAGGAAGCCTAAACGAAAAAAAAAGAAAAAGAAAAGAAATGTCATTTGAATCTGTTGAAACATTGGCTTGCAGATGAAAATACAATGCCTGTGTGTTAGTGAACTTTTAGTCGGTGAGTATTCATGTTGTTGCAGTCATTAACTAGCATGCGTTCTACAAAAGTTGCGAGCGCATATGCAGTGCGGTGGGGTTATGTGTGTACATGTACATGCGATGAATGACCTCAAACAAATTAATACCCTGTTCGCAAAGCAGGGAGGTTGGGGGAGGGGGTTAGTGAGAGGAATTCCCCACGCTCATTTACTGCTGCACCTGCAGGATCTAATTTCTAACTGAGCCTAAGAGCGCGGCAAATTCTGGCATCTCAAAGATGCAATTAGAAGCCATTCCTTGGGGGAAGGTTACATCGAAACCCGCGAGAAGGCGGATCATGTGAGCACAAACTCAGGCGAGTGCTTCCCCATTACTTGGAGTATGAGAAATAGTGATATCAGTCTGATTTAAAGTATGCGGGTAAGTTACGTGAGGCCAAATTTCCTGTCAAATATAAACATCCTTCTGTGAAGGGCTGTGTGAGTCATGCTCGTTTAACGTCAAACTGGTTTGAGGAAATGTTCCGGAGAGCTGGAGTTATGTATACGAACATTCTCAAGTTTGGCAAATCTTAGGTGTTTGCTCTAAATATTTGCAGTTCGTCTGCGTATGTGGATTTCACAATGACAAGGGTTTGAACATTATGAGTGTATCCTGGTCCAGAGAAGGATTACATGGTTTAAATGTATGTCAAAACTATAAGGGCTGATTCATTGTTTTTTTTAATAAATAAATAAATAAAGCAATTGTACACTACCAATCAAAAGTTTGGAAACTATTTTTAAATGTTTCTGAAAGAAGTCTCTTCTGCTCACCAAGGCTGCATTTATTTGATCAAAAATACAGAAAAACAGTAATATTGTAAACTATTACTTAAAATAAATACTTTCTATTTAAGTATGTTAAAATATAATTGATTCCTGTGTTTTTTAAGCATCATTACTCCAGTCTTAAGTGTCACTTGATCATTCAGAAATCATAATAATATGCTGATTTGCTGCTCAAGAAACATTTATGATTATTATCAATGTTGAAAACAATTTTTGTTGCTTAATTTTTTTGGAAACCATGACACATTGCCATTTAAAAGTTTACGTTTTTAAAAAAAATTATAAAATAATTTTATTCAGCAAGGATGCAATAAATGTACTATATTAGATCATATTGTTTTTGATTGTTTGCGACTTCCTGGCGTCAGATATAAACACACACACACACACACACACACACACACACAAACGCACACTCACTCGCACACTCACTCACTCACTCACTCACTCACTCACACACTCACTCACTCACACACATTTACATATTAGCATGCCAACTTTTTGTTCAGAAACAGGAAGAAGGAAAAACTTTGCACAAAATAAATAAATAATACACAAACAAAATAAGAAATAAATTTGCTGATGATGTATCCCAATTCAAATTCATTCAACTTTATGAAAACAAGTCTTATTTTCAAAAAAGGCTTTTATATCGATCTTGTTTTAAGGATTTAATAATTACATTTATATAATTATTATTAATTATATACTACTGTGACGAGAGGGGCGGGGCCGAGAGCCGTGGGAACGGAGCGAGGCCGGTGGAGTAATTGCTAATGCGCGACACCTGCGCCACTCACCGGTCTCGAGTCTCACGGAGGAGCTCCGGAAGTATAAAAGGAGGAGTGACGACAGTGTTGGACGAGAGAGGACCAGGCCTGGATATTATTTTATGTTTTGTGTGCAACAGTCGTCCGCGAGGGGCTGCCGCTTTACTTTCGTTTTTTGTTTGTTCATTTTATTAAAGTTTGAAATGTTCGCCGATTCCCGCCTCCTTCTTCCCGTGACTACGAACTTTGTTACAACTACTTACTATTATTATTATCGTCTTGCTAAACTATCCTCACAACAAATTGATTGTAAAAACCTTTAAAAAAAAAAATAAAAAGACTTGTTTTGAAGAGTTGAATACATCATCTGCAAATTATTTATTTATTTTTTGTGTATTATTTATGTATTCTGTGCAAAGGGCAAAGTTTTTCCTTGTTCCTTCTCCATTGCCCGGTGGCTCTAGTTTCTGAACAAAAAGTTGGCATGTTGATATGTAAATGTAGGCGGTCCTGTTTTTTTTTTTTTACCTGACGCCAGGAAGTCGCAGATTATTTAAAAAGGAAAAAAATAAATAAATCATGATATCACCCATTCAATCCTATGACCCATACTGAATGTATGCCCTTGCTGTGACAGTTTTGTATGTATACTGCTCACTCTGGGGAACTGAAGACTAGTGAAACACGGTCTTCAAAGCAATCAGTGTTATGTGCTTCCGTCGGGATTCAGCTAAAATGTACATGACTGTCAGATAAAGCACAGCATTCTTAAGACTGAACAAGGACGTTCGTCCCGTGACACTAGGGCGATCTAATCACAAAACATGCAATGTCAAGAAAAATAAGATAAATCATATTGTACTTAAAATAAAGCTTATTTTAGATTTGTGTCATCGTGACATTATATTTATAACATTTAAGCACATTTCCCTGCAAATTCTCATTACCATAATCTATAAAAATCTCATTGTTACAAAAATGCATTGTCTCGATATATAAAAATTGTCATTACCATAATGTAATTAAAATAACTGAAAATGACAGATTATGGTAGTGTTTGTCACTTTAAATTTTGCTGATTTTAACACACACCCACACACACACACACACACACACACACACACACACACACACACAATGAGGGGCGGGGCCGAGAGCCGTGGGAACGGAGCGAGGCCGGTGGAGTAATTGCTAATGCGCGACACCTGCGCCACTCACCGGTCTCGAGTCTCACGGAGGAGCTCCGGAAGTATAAAAGGAGGAGTGACGACAGTGTTGGACGAGAGAGGACCAGGCCTGGATATTATTTTATGTTTTGTGTGCAACAGTCGTCCGCGAGGGGCTGCCGCTTTACTTTCGTTTTTTGTTTGTTCATTTTATTAAAGTTTGAAATGTTCGCCGATTCCCGCCTCCTTCTTCCCGTGACTACGAACTTTGTTACAACTACTTACTATTATTATTATCGTCTTGCTAAACTATCCTCACAACAAATTGATTGTAAAAACCTTTAAAAAAAAAAATAAAAAGACTTGTTTTGAAGAGTTGAATACATCATCTGCAAATTATTTATTTATTTTTTGTGTATTATTTATGTATTCTGTGCAAAGGGCAAAGTTTTTCCTTGTTCCTTCTCCATTGCCCGGTGGCTCTAGTTTCTGAACAAAAAGTTGGCATGTTGATATGTAAATGTAGGCGGTCCTGTTTTTTTTTTTTTACCTGACGCCAGGAAGTCGCAGATTATTTAAAAAGGAAAAAAATAAATAAATCATGATATCACCCATTCAATCCTATGACCCATACTGAATGTATGCCCTTGCTGTGACAGTTTTGTATGTATACTGCTCACTCTGGGGAACTGAAGACTAGTGAAACACGGTCTTCAAAGCAATCAGTGTTATGTGCTTCCGTCGGGATTCAGCTAAAATGTACATGACTGTCAGATAAAGCACAGCATTCTTAAGACTGAACAAGGACGTTCGTCCCGTGACACTAGGGCGATCTAATGGGAACTAGATGAAGTAGAGGGCTTCGGGACGAAATACAAAGGAGAAAGAGGACAGGCAGGGCTCACGGTCATACAGGCAAGACCAGGGAGGCAGGGAGAAATATGATGAAACATTCAGCAACTTACATATCCATCATCATAAGGACTCATAGAGTAATATCCCTTCATGAGCAGATGATCAGACACACAAACACACAGGAAAATATGATTAAGGATACACTAGCTGCAAAAGCATGTAAATATCAAAACATTTTAGGCAATGTCAGATTATCCCAACGCTATGTGACTCTTTTTAGGGTCCCGATGTGAAAAATGTTGGGTTTTGTAGGGAAAATGTTACAAACCAAAATATTTTGGGTTGCTTTAAGTTACTAAACCATGATAGAAACTGAAAACAAAACATAAAATACATATCATAAAAGCAATAGATAAAAAAAATTTTAAATTCCAGCTGCAAAAATTCAGTAAATAATGGTAAATGTGAAAGCAATTCAAATGTTTTTATGTTTAAAAAAATGTGAGACACACACACACACACACACACACACACACACACACACACACACACAAAACATGAAAATTATACTTTTATTCAGCTAGGATTCATTAAATTGATCAAATATGACATTAAAAACATTTGTGATTTTAACACACACACACACACACACACACACACACACACACACACACACACACACACACACACAATCTTTTTAATATTGTTACAGTAACGAATCACCATTGAGAATAATGACAATGGATTTTTTTTATGCAAAAACACGTGGAACAGTGGTCAAACGTGTTCTTCTAACATGTTTACAAAAAAAAATAAAAATGTATTGGAATGCAAAAACTTGCTCTGTGTGAACATCCTTAAAGGAACACTCCACTATTTTTGAAAATAGGCTCATTTTCCAACTCCCCTAGAGTTAAACAGTTGAGTTTTACCGTTTTCGAATCCATTCGGCTGTGCAGCAGGAGCAATGATATTACGCAGTGCCTGAAAATAGGCTAACTTCCGTCAACATAACCAACGTGAGCACCTGCTTGCACAGGGAGCGTGCTGGGGACTATTTTCAGGCGCTGCGTAATATCATTGCGCCTGCAATATAAATATAAAATAGTACACGATGTAACTACAGAAGAGTCAAGTTTTAAATAGGAAAAATATAGAAACTCTTTGGTCATTTTTGAGCGAGATGCTAATGGTCTAATCAGATTCAATGATCTATGCTAAGCTGCAGCTAAAAGTGCTACAGCCAGACCCGGAGATCGGCTGAATGGATTAAAAAACGGTAAAACTCAACTGTTTAACTCTAGGGGAGCTGGAAAATGAGCCTATTTTCAAAAATAGTGGAGTGTTCCTTTAAGGCTTTGTTCAGACAGGAAGGAAAATGTATTTATTTTTTATTTTCTGGCATAATACAAAACAATGACAAAGCAGAAAACCATGTGAAGTCAATTCACATTTGCATGTGCTTTGAAAATGAATTCAAATCTGATTAGAAATGGCTCCCAGTGTGAACAGTCAAATCAGGTTTTAGAGTGTTGCATGTATGCAAATCCATATGCAATGCGCAAGTAATGACTGAGTGAAAATTTGTGAATTTAAACTGAGTTAAAGAAGATTTATCATGACGGACATGAGCAGATTCAGAAGTTTCTGTGCTCTCAAAAACGACAGCTACTTTCGAGTTAAACTTTGACAGCATGGTCTATAGAAAAAAAATTTCCAACACAGAATAAAAAAATATAAAAGGTCATTGTGAGGTCATTTCACAATCCTGAATTTTTTTTTTTTTTGTAAATCTAAGAAAAAAAAAGAAAAAAGACTTCTGAGAAGAAAAGTCTGAATTGTGATATATAAACTCACAGTGAGAAGAAACAAATCTGAAATGTGAGATAAAAAGTTGCAGTTACCTTTTCATTTGTATTCTATATTTGCAAAATAATAAAGAAATGGTGGAGTGTGGATGCTTTAAAAAGCCAAATGCATATAAACATATTGTCTGCATAAAGTAAACATCAGTGAAGGCAGTGACTCACAGTGCCAGGTCTGGTGAAGTCCACGCTCTGAGCTGCACTCTGTCTCATGTGACCGCTGAAGAGCCTCATGCACACACCCTGCAGGTACTCTGGGGAGATCTGCAAAATATCAGCCATATCCCCTGAGCATTTTAGGAGAACTTTGGTCATGCGTAATTATCTGCATTGCTGGAGTTGTGCACATAAAGTGTGAGCTGATGTTTGCTTGCCATCTTTCCGCGGACTGTGGCCTCCAGCGAATCCACCAGCTCGGCTGTGATGCCGATGAGGCTGTGATGGTCGGCCTGCAGCTTAGCGAATCTCCTCATGTGGATGGCCGACTTCCTTTCTGCCTCGGTCAGATGGAGCTGCATTTGCTGAATCGCTTCTGGGAGACAACACACACAAACAGTCAGATAAGGGGCTGGTGAACACGCATGATGCAAAAGAGCCACATTAACAACTTCTGAGAGTGACGGTGCATTTGACCTACGATCAGGGTTCAAAAGGAACACAAAAATCTGATTTTCCTCAGGTTATGTTACAAACATGACAATATTTAGAACAAAAAAAGTATATTTTTCGTTTGATGGCAGTTTGCAAGGTTCACAGCTAATTAATCCCAGCTAATTAGGGACAAAATTATACATACTTTATTTAAAATATGAAATTACACAATGCTATCGGTTATTATATTAAGATAAAACAAATGTAATTATTACCCACAGTAACGTGTAATCATGATTTACAATGTGACTGGAGATTCAGGATTAAAGCTACTTCCCATATTTTGTGAACAATGATATTTTTATGGCTTTTATTTTATGTTACAAAAATACATTATATAAGTTATATCACATTACAAAATCACAACATTTGTGTAACAGGGCATTTTCACAGAGACATAATATGATAATAAAACAGCTAAATAATATAAAATACTATATATGATAAATATTTTAATTATTTATCTCAATTATTATATTATATTAAATTATATATTATGATGAAACAAGTTGAATTATTACCCATTTTCTGATTTTTAAATTCATAATTTTTTTAAATCATTATTTAATTTATATCATGTTAAAAATATTTAGAACAAAATCACAACATTTGTGTAACGGCATTTTCACAGAGACATAATATGTTAATAAAACAGCTAAATAATATAAAATACTATATACGATAACATGATAAATATTTTAATTATTTATTTAAATAATTGTATTATATTATATTATGATGAAACAAGTGTAATTATTACCCATTTTATGATTTTTTAATTAATTATTTTTTTTAATCATTATTTAATTTATATTATGTTAAAACATATTTAGAACAAAACAAAATGTTTTTGTGATAAAGACAGTTTTTGTGTTTGACAAACACATAATACCCAAGGAAAATTACTAAATAATGCCAATATTAGAGACAAAATTATACATATTTATTTTTATTACATATTTATTGCACATCTAAAATGTGCATACATTATTATATGACGATAAAAAAGTAATTGTTACCCATGTAATGTGTAATTGTGATTTACAATGTGACTGGGTATTAGGGATTAAACCATCGATCCCATGTGACCAATACATTTTTATGACTTATTATTTTCAAAAACCATTATTTAATTTATATCACATTATGCCACCAATATATACTGTATATTTAAATAATGAATTAAATTATTGTATTATAGTATTTGAAAATAAAACAAATGTAATTATTCCTCAAAGCAAAGTGTAATCATGATTTACAATGTGACTGGAGGTTCAGGATTAAAGCTACTTCCTCTAAATGCCACACCCTGTGACTTTTTATTACTTTTCCAGTCATTTGTAATTAATGATCATTTTCAAAAATCATTATATATCAAGTATTTAGAGCAAAACTGTAATGTTTCTGTGACTGGTGTTGTTTCATATGCAATAAAAACAGCTAAATAAATGTTTTTATAAAAATTAGGGACGTGTAATCATGTTTAATTAAATATTCAGTTAATTATTATATTATATTATAATTTAGTACATTTTGTATCATGCCTACAATGCTACGGTAACAATGTAGGAACTGCGTCAGAATAGTTCACCTTTGTTGCCCTTTCCACCTTCGTTCTGGTTTCGTGGTGTTTAGGAGTCATGCCAAAAAGTAATTGTTCATTTTAATGGTTTAATGTCATGAATGTCCCTGCCCTCAAACTACATCAAGCAAAAACATCCCAGTTTGCTCATCAAAAACAACATTCACAGGACTTGTGTTCACACTCCACAGCCCATGGTTCTGACATAACACTAACACATGTGCATTTTATGACAATGCACAATGAATTTTGGCCCTTGCGATATTTAATTATTACCCACAGAAATGTGTAATCAAGATTTGCAATGTGACTGGAGATTCAGGATTAAATCCACTTCCTCTATAGCAGTGTTTCCCAACCTTTTTTTGGCCACGGCACAGTTTTGATCAGTAAAACATGCCACGGCACACCTCTAAGCACTGAAATATCGCAAAATTGCACAGACATGCATTGCTTCAAATGGCATATTAAAACTGGATATTATATTAAAAGCCACAGTACCAACTCTGACGATGCAGTGTTGAATTATTTTGTAAAAAGGATTTTTTTTTTCTCCGCTCTTCAATCACACACACACACACACGCTCACACACTCACACATGCTCACTCACACTCACGCTCACACTCACACTCACACACTCACTCACACGCTCACACGCGCTCACACACGCTCACACACGCTCACACACTCACGCTCACACACTCACGCTCACACACTCACGCTCACACACTCACGCTCACACACACACGCTCACACTCACGCTCACACTCACACGCTCACACTCACACGCTCACGCTCACACACACACGCTCACACACACACGCTCACACTTACACTCACACACTCACTCACACGCTCACACGCGCTCACACACACTCACACACGCTCACACTCACACGCTCACACTCACACGCTCATACTCACACTCACACGCACACACACACGCTCATACTCACACTCACACGCACACGCTCACTCACACACACGCTCACTCACACTCACTCACATTCTCACACACACACAAACACACACACACTCACTCACTCACTCACACTCGCTCACACACACCCACACACACTCACACTCGCTCACTCACTCACACACACACTCACTCACTCACTCACACACACACACACACACTCTCTCACACACTCACACTCACACACTCACACACTCACACTCACACTCACACAAAAAAAAAACATTAGGCTTTATAGACACAGTGTTTCTTGAGTAAAGAATACGCTGTACTTATTCAAACATCAGTTCTTTATTTAGCCTTGCATTGTGATCGAGCAGAGATCTGTCTCCAGACTTCTGAATGAAGGCGGCTGGAGTTATGAGGTTTGCTGACAGTTTGAGGATCCAATGGTGTTACGAGGCTTAGTCACAAGCTCTTTTGAATGCTTTTTTTGGTTAAATATTTGTAAAACTCACAAACAGATGTAAAGATGACCAATAGCATGGATTTAAAATAATAATAATAACGAAATTAAATTTTGATAATTTTCCGGCACACCTGACATGGCACAGTGGTTGGGAAACACTGCTCTCTCTCTCGCTCTCTCTCTCTCTCTCTCTCTCTCTCTCTCTCTCTCTCTCTCTCTCTCTCCCTCCCTCCCCTAAGGGTTTTACAGAAATAATTTAATACATAATTTTAAAATTATAAAAAATGCCTCACAATATACACAAAAGGATACATATAAAGTCAGAAGCCTCGGCGTGTTTGAAGCTTTCAGAGTCACTGAGAGAAACTTCTCCAGGCTTTCTCTCAACTCTGGCATCCAGGAATCCTATGATCCGGTAAAAACAATGACAGCACATTAAAACCTCTTCTGCATCAAGCAAGTGCTCAGTGTACATGAGGTTCATCATACAGAATAATATGATTTTTCAGTATGCAGCAATATTGACATACCTATAAGAAAGTGTACCCCAGTATCTAAGACCTAACCTCAGTTTTCAGAGATTTTCTGCAATGACTGTTAATCAGCTGGTGTGCTGGTGGTTGGTAGTGGATGTGTGTTGTACCTGGAAAAGCTCCTGGAAGGACGGGTGTACCGTGGGATTGGGCACAAACGGCAGAGCGTAGAACGGCAGGAATTCGGTGGTCTGGCTCAGTGACGCCCCTCTGGTCTCCAGATAGTGTTTGAAATGTGTGATCCTGTTGTCAAACTCTCCTTTATCCTGTATTACACAAACATATTTTTACATTTAACAAAAAATGATTTGCATCTTGACTGAAATCTAATACCATCTCATTCAAATACTGATTCAAGTCATGTATTTGAATGAACGAGAGGTTGGCCTGAATGTTTTAGTTAACACGTTTGACCACTGTTCCACGTGTTTTTTCATAAAAAAAATCCATTGTCATTATTCTCAATGGTGATTCATTACTGTAACAATATTAAAAAGATTGTGTGTGTGTGTGTGTGTGTGTGTGTGTGCGCGTGTGTGTGAGAATAAAAACACTGCAGATTGTCACTTCATGTTCTTTTTGAATAAACGAGGTCAGTCTCACGTGAACGCCGAGGGTTTTGGAGTCTCGCCGGGAGTGTGCTGCACTTCTGAGGACAGGTTTGCCTCTGCACTTGAGTTCCTTTTCAAACACTCTCGCAGTCTCTTCAAGCTCAGCAAACCTCAGATACTGCAAATCGTCACATTATTTGTCATTGTCTGTTCATATTTGTGAAATAAACAGAACAATAACAGTCATGGAACTTAGCCGACCTCGCTGATCATTGACAGCAGATCACTTTCACTTGCCAGATCCTCACCCATCTTCAGAGACTTTCTGGAGCTCATTGATCCACAATCTAAAAAAAAATAAAAATAATAATAATAATAATAAATACATTGTAATACTGGGATACTGTGACAGAAACTATCAGATCTCAGGATGATGCTGTCACTGCCAAATACTAATATGACATGTTAAAAGCATATTTAACAAAACATATCATTTGCTTTACAAATAAGTCACTTGAGAGCCTTTTTTTTTTCCATCTTCAGCTCGAAGGCAAAACAAACTGGTTATGCAGAAATAAGCTAATATGTGCTGCTAAAAACACTGCGAGTATTTGTTCGTAAATAATAATGAGCTGAATAAACATTTATAACAGCTATGAGTACAGTTACGTTAGCTGGCGTGCGCGTCCTCGATTGCCAGTTTGCAGGCTAACGTAAATATAATATAACAGAACTCACCTCACTAACAATACTTGACGTGCAGCCGTCGCTGAACATATCTGCTGTGCTTTCTGTCAAATCTGTAGAGGTATACACGCTATTAACGACGATTTCAGGAGGATAAACAGGAGCTGTTTGGCTAACTGCGACGGTAACCATGAGCGAGACGCTTTCTCCTAGCAACCGCAACGGAAACGCCGGTTGCCGGATATATGTGTCGTAATTTTTTGTAGTTTTACGTGAGGATAAATGTAGTCGTTTGTGTTTGTTCGAATGTTAATGATAGTTTTAAAAAGGAAAAGTATTGGCTTGTTTCTTTGAGTGTGACGTTATCACAATAATCAATGGCATTCTTTGTCATGATTTTGCGTCTTTCAAGCCTTCTAAAAGCAAGAAAGCGTTTATTAATCAGTTTTATTGCTTTTTTTTTTGTTTATTATTTTTGTATTGTATTATTGTATATATGATCGTTTGTAATCGTATGTTTAAAAATGTACCCATCGTTATTAAGTCATTATGAAGCATTAAAGCGGAATATAAAACTGTGCGTGTATATATGCAGGCAAAATTATAAAATTCATACAGAACATAAGCAGAAATAGTTGTATTTTATTTCTTTATTTATTTGTATTTTAACGTATTTGTATCTATATGTATATTTTATATACGTATTATATATATATATATATGTGTGTATTTATATGTATATTTTTTATCATTTTACTTCGATGTCATTTTTAATCTTTTTTTTTACCGCAATGTTCTACCGTCGTAAACGCGAGCCATGACCCGGATGTAGTAGTAAATCACGTGGCCGGAGGTGAAGCGCATTGTTTCGCGGCATGTTTCATATTTGTGTAGAATGAGAAGAAAGTTGATGTTTTTCCCCACTGTTATTATTTCCTATTTTTAACTGGAACGATCCTGCGCGCATTGTATCTGGAGAAAGTAAATCATATTTGCTGAACGCGCTCATTTAAAACGCAATGTACTGCTGTCCCTGGTTCTAACGGGAGTGTTAGTGTGAGGCTGAGGCTGCACGAGACATTGCCTTAATATGTATATGTTTTACAGCTTTAACAGAGTTCTGTATTAAATATTGAACTCTTTTGCTTGTTTGTGTTTTCCAGGATAATTCATGACCAGCTGAGGAGTTTTTCCATTTATAGTTCAGTTCGTGTGTAAATGGCTGGGATTCTGTTCGAGGACATCTTTGATGTGAAGGATATTGATCCGGATGGAAAAAAGTTTGACCGAGGTGAGAAGATTTGAGTGAATAATATATATATATATATATCTTTTATTGTCATTTATTTTTATTTCGTTTTCTTCAGTATCCGTTGTTAAAGTACTATTTACATTATTACATTATACATTAAAAGCATTACAACACATTAATAAATAAGATTAAAATTGAAATGAAAGGAATGAAAATAAAAGGATTTAAACTTAATTTTATTTTAATGTACTTTTTAATTGTATTTACTGTTTTAGTGTAAAACACTATATTACATATTGAAAAATAAGCATTTTTTGTTTTCTATGTTTTCAGTTTTTATTATGTAAATGCTTTAAGAAATATTGAGGGGAAAAATGATTATTTTTATTGCCATCTTTTTATTGAATTTAAATGATCCATTATTGAAGTAGAATTTACATGATCAAGAAGTATTTACTTTTAAAACATTAAAGGTACATTGATAAAATTAAAACATTACTAGCAATTAAGTTTAAATGGTGAATTAATTGTATTTAGTAATATATTTTGTAATGTAAATATTACTTTTACTACTAAATAATAGCATACTGAATGGTATCTGTATAAAACGCGCACAAAGCTTTTGTGAGGGAAGTACCATGATAGAATATATTTTAAATATATTTATATTTTAAAATTGCTGCTAGGTGTGACCAAGAAAAGTCTCTCAGTCGGTTTATTCAAAGCCATCCTTTCCTTAATAATCGTTTTACATGTTATTAAAATAAATTCAGGAAAAACATAGGGCTGCACGATTGACTAAAAATCATAATTGTCGATTATTCCTTTGAAATTGAGATTATTAATTTACGATTAATTGAATGATGTTTACACCTTTGTTTGATGCAACTGCATGCCATATTTTTATATGAAAATAAACAAGCTGAAAACGCTCTTAACTGAAAAACCTTTAGTGCTTCTCTATAGTATTAAGCCTTAAGTGTCAAATATACATCGGATTGGTTTCTTCTTTAAATAAAAAGGTAAAAATATGAATGGTGTTATAGTGTTAAACTAAAACTAAAACAATGGAAAAACCCTTAAGAGCGTGCAGAATAACTGAAGTGGACTTTGAACGATTAATTGCTGCTTTGAACGATTATGTAATTGCGGCATCCGTAATTGTAATTGCGATTAGAAATTAGATTAATTGTGCAGCCCTAGAAAGACATCAGCAATTCTAAAAGTGTTGGTTTTGTGATTATCAGTGTCTCGTTTTCACTGTGAAAGTGAGTCTTTCAAAATGGACCTGATCCTGGACGTGAACATCCAGATTTATCCGGTTGATCTCGGTAAGTGATAGTCGAGCTGTTCAGTCGTGGTGGTGGTGTTGTGTGTTTGATATGGTGTCATAATCATGATGTTGGCTCAGGTGACAAGTTCAGACTGGTGATCGCCAGCACGCTGTTTGAGGACGGGACGCCGGATGATGGGGAATACAACCCTCAGGACGACAGGCCGTCCAGGTCACACAACAAAACACACAGAACCAAAACATTAATTAGAAAGAATATGCAAAACATTCAGATGTAGAAAATGAATTTCTCCTGTGTGAGAATGACTAACTATTAATCATATTAATCATTTGCAAATACATTTATAAAAGCAAATGTCACATCCAAATAAATGCTATTTATTTATTTATTTATTTTAAAGATTTATTATGATAGGACAGTGTAGAGCAGACGGAAAGTGGGATCGGGAAAGGTTCGTGAGCCAGGACTCGAACTCGTGACGCCTGAAGCGCAGTGGCGCTGTATATCAGCGCTAACAACAGAATAGAGCTGCACGATTATGACAAAAATCATAATTGTCGATTATTTCCTTGAAATTGTGATTAATTACGATTAGCACAATTTACATTGAATGATGTTTATACCATTGTTTGATGCAACTGCATGCCGTATTTTTATATGAAAATAAACAAGCTGAAAACACTCTTAACTGAAAAACCTTTAGTGCTTTTCTATAGTATTAAGCCTCAAATGTCAAATATACATCGGATTGGTTTCTTCTTTAAATTATAAAAAAAGTAAAAATATGAATGGTATTATAATGTTATACTAAAACTAGTGGTCAACCGATATATCGGCCGATATTTGGCATTTTTAAATATCAGCATCGGCCGATAAATTTTTCTGTTTGGCCGATGTGTTCGAGGCGGGACTTTTATTTTGACTGCGCTGAGAACGGCAGCGCCTGAACACACAGTGCTCACATTCTCCCTCTTGTTCGCTGTCGTCGTTAACAGTTCTGTCCACGGATAGAAATCTGTCTAATAATCAGATAGAACAGTTAAACAAAGGAATTAAAATGTATACAAAAAAGTATTATAACGATTGCATTTATATTGTTAGTAATAGAAAGGCAAACATTATAATACTTTCTCGTTTGCCGTCAGCATTCAGCAGATACGCATTTACATCATTTAAACAAATCTTTGAATGACTAATGAACATCTAATTTCACAAACCTTACAAACTCAGTCGG